ATAATTTATTTTCAAACCAATATATTAAATTATTCAATTTAATGGACGTATAACAACGGAATAAACAAAAAAACAAAGAAACAGCGCAATAAAAAACAAACAAAAAAACAAAAAAACAAAAAAAAAAAAGAGAGAAATGATGTGTGTATAGGTGAACATGGTGGGAACGTTCCTGGACGACTACTACTTGTACATAGTAATGGAATACGTGATAGGGGGAGAGTTCTTTACTTTATTAAGAAAGCTGCGCCGCTTCGACAACGAGGCGGCAAAATTCTACGCGGCTCAGGTCACCTGTATCTTTGAATACCTTCACGGAAGAAATATCATATATAGGTGAGGGTTTTGTTGGCTTTTTTTTTCTTTTTTTTAGGGGGTTTTAGGTGTAGAAAGAAAGAAAAAGAAAGAAAGAGAAAGAGAGAGAGAGAAAGAGAGAGAAAAGGAGAGAGTTGAGAGAGAAAGCTAGGTTCTATGCTGCTTAGGGTTTCGGGTGTAGATGCATGGCAGAGTTATCATCTGTTGCTGTAGGATTCAAAAAAGAAATAAAAAGAGAATATAATATACAGAGCAATCGACGGAGAAAAACAAACAAACAGAGAAAAACGAACAGATAAACAGATACACAGCAACAGAAACGCAGACGAACTATACTTTTCTCAACCTAGGGTTTAGGGTTTAGGGTTTAGGGTTTAGGGTTTACTGTATGATAGGGGTGTTGATTGGTGTATACTGGTGTGTTGTGTTTCAAGAGACCTGAAACCGGAGAACTTGTTGGTGGATTCCGAAGGATATCTGAAACTGACGGATTTCGGTTTTGCAAAAGTAATAGAGCACCGCACGTACACCCTATGCGGCACGCCAGAGTACATTGCTCCGGAGGTTCTGCTGAATAAAGGTGAGAAATAAAGAGAAAATAACCGTAAAAACATTAAAAATAAACAAAATACACGAAAAAAAACCAACTTGTCTGAACAAATACGATGAAAATGCAGTATGTTGTGCAGGAGTAAGCGGTGTGGTTTCGGTGCGTCAAACTGAGGTGTATGTACACCTGAATTTTTGCTTTTTTTTTTCAACTTTTTTTCAATGCATTGCAGGCCACGGTAAACCTGTTGACTGGTGGACTATGGGTATTTTAATTTATGAAATGATCGTCGGCTATCCTCCTTTCTTCGATGATGAACCCATGGGGGTCTACCAAAAGATACTGGGCGGCCGCATCGTCTTTCCTAAATCCTTTGATAGGTGCGCGAGGTGCATGCAGCAGCTACACATGTACACAAATAAAAAACACTTCGGTTCTTACGCATGCAGGCATGCATGCATGCATGTGTTCATGCATGAATGCATGCATGCATGTGTTCTTGCGTGCATTCATGCATGTAAACACGATAGATGCATGCATGCATGCATGCATGCATGCATGCGTTCAGACAGGCTTTGGTGTTACAGTAGGAAGTGAAATGACTCATTCTGCGGCTTGTAGAGGGGCTTGTGATGAAGCAAACAAATTGAAACAGCTTTTGCATATCTTTATGTGTTTAGTCTTTTTTAAATAAATACATTTATGCAGAGATAGAATATATATATATATATATATATATATATATATATATATATATGTATGTATGTATATGTATATATGCTTTTCTATTACGCATACACTTCAGCAGCAGAAGATGACAAATGGATGGTGTATTTTTCTGTATTTCTTCCTCTGTATTTGACTTCTTGTATTTATTGAATAATATTTTACACAACTGTATATATTTTAAACATTTTATTTACATAAACAAATAAAGTATATATAATATATAACTGTATATATTTTAAATATTTTATTTATATATTCTATACAACTGTATATATTTTTTTTTTTTTTTTTTTTTTTTTTNTTTTTTTTTTTTTTTTTTTTTTTTTCAGGAATGCAAAGATGCTAGTGAAGCGGCTGCTGACGCCAGACCTAGCGAAGCGTTACGGTAACCTAAAGAACGGCGTTGCTGATATAAAAGAACACAAGTGGTTTGGTTCTTTTGATTGGAATGCACTCATGAAAAAGCAGCTGCCCCCGCCGTATAAACCCGCATTCAAGGTGGCTATACACCCCACAGCAACAGAAAAAATATACAGTGCTGCTGGTTGTTCCTTCTGTTTTCTTTTGCTTCTTGGTTCCTGATGCTTGCTTGTTGCTTGTTGTTTGTTTCTTTTTTTTTGTTGCTGTTCGTTGTCTTTTGTTTTTTTGTTCTTGTTTGTTTTTGTTCGCTTTGGTTTGTTGTTGTTTGTTTTTTTTGCTGCTGTTTGCTGCCTTGTTTGTGGTTTGTTGCTGCTGCTGCTGCAGTTGCTTTTGCTGTTGTTTAGGATCAAGCATTCGTTATTTGTTTGTGTTTTTTAATGCTTTCATTTGGCTCTCCTCTCATTCATTTTTTTATTTTTTATTTTTTTCTTGAAACATAAAAATAAAAAAAAATATTTCTTTATTATTTATTGCAGTATTTCTTTTATTTTTTTTCCTAAAAAAATAAGAGAAAGAACAAATGTCATTTATTTATTTATTTATTTATTTATTTATTTATTTATTTATTTTATTTATTTTATGCATGCATGCATGCATGTATGCAGGCCCTGGATGACACATCGAATTTCGATACATATCCAGAGTCAACAGAGAAACCGCCGCCTGTAACGGGATCGATGGACCCCTTCACTACCTGGTAAAAGTGCAGTGCATGCATCTATGCATGCATGCATGCATGCATGCATGCGTGCTTGCATGCATGCATGCTTAGCAGATGCATTGTCTTGAACTGCTGCATGGGTACAACTGCCCAAAGCGGACGAACAGCAAGGAGAGAGAAGAGAAGGCCCGACTGCTGCTGCAGCTGCAGCAGCAGCTACAGCAGCAGCTGCAGTAGCAGCTGCTGCTGCACAGGCGATAGAGTAGAGGGTTGGGAGTCATCTTAGGGGAGACAAAACCCGAAGAAGCTAGACACACAAACACATAAACATGTACGCATGACTGTGGATTCATAAGTGCATGCATTTGCATGCAAGTGCTCCCGCATGCATGCAGTGATGCACTGGTCACTGTAGATGTCACACCCACCCACCTGCATGCGTACATGCATGCATGCATGCATCCTGTGCTTGCATGCATGCATGCATGCATGCATGCATGCATGCAGACCAGCATGCACTGGCATCTGAAAACATGTGCACACGAAAATACATGCATAGGCGCCAAAGTGCAGGCACGTGTAGAACCACATGTTCATGCACATGTACATGCAGACGCAGGCAGCTGTTGCATGCAGCTGTATGTGCAGCTTCAGTTATTCCTTGTCACACCTGCTGGCGCTTTCCCTTCGTTTCCAAGGAAATACTGAAAGGGAGACGCAAAAGGAAAGGGAAAGAACCGGGGGGGTTGTTTCGTATTATTTAATACTCCCGATATTTGTCATGCATTTCCTGTGCGACAGCGACACCGGCAGGGCTGACAGAAACAGCAGTTGCTGCGAGCGCGTATATATATATAAAAACCCGAAAAGTTGAATTTAATTCAATAAAATACTTGAATAAATATATCTTTATGAAGCATACAGTCGCCTATTCAGCCCAAACAGTCATGCTTTCCCTAGGTTGTTGTAGTGAACAACTTTCAGGTGTATAGACAGCTTCATCGTCTAGTCAAGCAACACAGAAAGCTGTAGATAGCAGGCGGAATACAGCTGTTTTTTTGGCGTATTTCTTCGATTTCTTGTATATATTTCCTTTTAAAAAGCATTGAAAATGTTTGAATCAAAAGTTTCCAGCGTTTTGCATGCAAATTCACGGATGAATAGACACCTTGAGAGCCACCAGCACCATCATCCATGGGCGACGGAGATTTGTTCAGGGCAACAAATATGCTTTGACTGCGTTGCTGAAACCCTCGAGAAGCATTTACCCCCAACTAGGAAACTGAGTTTTATTGAAGAGGTTTTGCTCGCCTTGCAGCAACTGCCTATGAACACATCTTCCCGTGTTAGTCATTACCTCTTGCACTCTACAACTTTCGTCGAGTCTACTGTGAGTCAGACACTGAAACCCCAGATACACTTTAATTTATTTTATGAACGCGCGAAATATTCTCTTCAGTTGGAGCTGCTGGGCAGCGAAGCCGCAAAAGACGGCAGTTCAGTCATCGGCGCGGAGTTGAAAACAGCAATGCAGTGAGGAAGCTGACGCGATCATCTATAAAAAATATATGAGAGTTTATAATTAAATACTTTATATTTTCTTTTTTTATTTGTACTTGTGTATTGATACAGAACGGCTATGTTCATAGATGAAGCGGCCTTCAAACATAATGCAGAAGAGCCGCCACACAGTGAAGGGGGTCTTGCAACAAAGCTACGCAGATATCTGCTGCTCTCCTCTGAGCCCCCCAGCAGGGTGTTGCTGCTGCTGCTGCAGCAACTGGTGTCGCGACAAACACCCAGTGCAGCGTCTGTGCTACAGGTAGAGAAATAAGAAACAAATGAATACTGAATATGCTGCACCTCATTCTTGCTGCTGCTGCATCTACAGGATCCAGAGCTGTGGGGGCGGCTGGTTGCTGCTCTCCCTGCTGCCTTGAAGACAGCAGCACCTGAGGCAGAGCTGATCCTATGCAGCTTCTCTTCTTTGCTGCAGCCAGGAGGAGGCTGTAGCGCGAGTGCTGCTGTGTCGCTTGTTTCTTGTTGCTTGCAGCGTGTTGCAGCAGCACTGCGGCTGCTGCCTCCTACCCATCCGCTGCTGCATCTGCTGCTGCAGCTCGTCTTCGATTGCCTTCGCCTGCCACTGCTCAGCAGCGACTGCCTCGCACACGACAGCAACAAGTTGCTGCGGCAGCTGGGGGAGACGTTTCAGGCTGTCTTTGCTTCTGAAGCAGCAAAGCCGCAGGTGCAGCGCCTGGCGCTGCAGCTGCTGCAGCAGCTGTTCACTATCTATGAAGAAAGCTGCAAAGAGATATTCATTGAGGATATATGCATCGTCGACTGGCTGCTAGAAGCAGCAAGAAACGGCAAAGCTGTTGCAGAAGACGCAGTACACTGTCTGCAGCAGCATATTTTCAATTCTCCTGCTTTCCTTCAGCATCACCTCGACACCAGTACGCATGCATTCACTGATATTTGTCTCTCTGTACATACACCTCAACTCTACCCCTTTCTGGGTCTTTTGCAGCATTCAATTCACTTCTTTGCATCGCCCGAAAACGACAAGAAAGCCGCTGGCTGCTGGCGGCTCTGCAAGCCCTTGTGGAGTCTAAGCCCGTAGGCAGTTGCTGCCGTCTGTGTGTTTTTGTTGTTTATAAAAATAATTTTAATTGAAATGCAGGAGTGGGCCCCTGATGAGAGAAAGCTGGCTGCTGTTGTTAGTGCTGCTGCTGCCTCTGTTTGCAGCCAAGCAGCTGCGCCTTCGCGCCTTCGCTTCGATGATATTGCTGAGGGCTTAGAGGGGGGAAAGGGGAGAGCAGCGCAGCTGAACGGGGCACTGAATCCTCAATGGGGTGTCAGTATTCTCTCGCTAGCTGCTGGGCTTTTCCAGGGTGAGGAAGAAGAAAACCCTCGAGAAAACGAAAAATAAATAAATTAAAATAAAAGGAATAGTGAAAAAAGAAATATTTTAATTTATGAATTTTCAGCTCGCAGCAATGCCGTTGCAAAGAACCCTCGGCCTGAAAAGCTCTGCCGTAATACTTGGATAAATATGTGAGCGAAAATATTAAAATAAATTAAAAGGAAACATGGAAATTATTTTATTAAATTTTTATGTATTTTCTCAGCATGCACGACCTCCAGCAGCTCATCGCAGCAATGAAACAAACAGAAAACCGCTGGCCGCCGGATGCAACAAAAAGAAGTTTCAGCTTTCTCGCGAAAATAATATTTTATATTATTCAACTTCACAGCAAAGTTTTTCAGTTATCATCAGATGCAGAGGAGAAACGAGTTCTTCTCGATTGCTTACTTGTTGATGCGAAGATGATTTCAGCTTTCTTCTTTGTTTGGAGAGTAAGCACAGATAAAATACATGTATGAATTTACTTTTTTCTCAGCTGTTTTATGATTTATTATTTAATAAATATTATTTATTCAGGCGGCATGTCCTGCTGCTGAAGATGATCAAGTTTTATTTCTTAATTGCATCTTTTCTGTTGTTTTTGCTGATACCGAAAAATACAGCTTTCCACCTGAAATGCTGGCGGAAGCAAAGCGATTTGTACGAGAAGCAGGCAAGTCGTTTCGGTGTTTTTTTTAATTTATATTTAAAATTTTAATTTATATTATTTCTGCAGATCAAAGGGGTATTATCGGGCGAGTTTACACTGTGTTTGTTTTTTTTTTTTTTTCTTTTGAATTGCTGCATACACAGACCGATCGTCAAGCATTCCTTGCGCCTTGCCGCGGACTCGAACCCGAAACTTCTTTTTTCTTTTTCTGCAGCAGAAACGCGAACATCTTTTGTCGTTTTTCTGCTGCACATGCTGCTGAAGGAGGAGCCAGCGGCGGGGGGCGAGGCCGTTGAGTGCGACATCTATTCAGGCGTTTCAGAGCTATTGATGCCTCGCAATGGTGATAAAACCTCTCTGAAATATTTATATTGTTTAAAACATTCAAATAAATATAATATTTTTTATATGTTGTGGATATTTATGCAGGAAACAACACAGTGCAGAATATACAGGGACCGACGGCAGACTGTGAAATTGTTTCGATTTCTCTTTTGCTGCTCAGCGATTGGTAATTCCAAATGCAATAAAAAAAGAAAAATATATTTATTATTTATTTACTCTTTACAGCTCGAGCCTCGCCAACTGCCCCCCAGAGCTGAAAACGTAAGACATTCTCTCTGTGCTGATAGAGTTGAAATGCCGACTTATATTTATTTTATTTATTTTTTTCTCTGCTGCATGCAACTCAAACAGAGCCGCAGCAGCAGTGCAGAAGCTGCTTATGGATCGCCCTGCCTTCTCTCGGGTTTGTTGTTTTTCTCACCTCTGAATCCTTCTTCTTCCTCATGTTTACTCTCTTTAATGCAGCAGCAGCAGCAGCAGCAGCAACAGCAGCAGCAGCAGCAGCAGCAGCAAACCCTGAAGCACCCGCGTGTTGCTGTGTGTCTAGCTGGAGTTGTATCTAAAGATGCAGAGTTAATACAATTCAAAGAAAAAGCGATCCAGCAGTTTTCAGTTGGCTGTCATTCTGTTGGCTTCGCTGAGTGGAAATGCTGGAGCACCGGCGTATTCGCAACACAAATTCGAGGGGTAATATATATATATATATATATATATATATATATATATATATATATATATATATATATATATATATATATATATGTGTTTATATATAAATATAGGGGTAAATAAATATATATGATGTATGTATGTATCCGTTTATTAATGTATGCATGCATGCATATATACAGATATCCAAAGATATATTATATATATAAATATTTATATATATCCTTAGGCGCTGCGGAGTTTGTTTGCCGCAGCAAACGAGTGTATAGAGAAGGGCCAGGAGCTGCAGGGGTTTCGTTGTCGTTTGTCTCAGTTTGTGCATTATGATATTCTTCTTTCTGCTGAGGGTTTGCTGCCGCTGCTAGCAGACGACAACTTCGGTTGCTTTCCGGTGCGTGCAGACCTCACTCCCTTCAGCTCTAACCAGCCCCGAACCACTCAACCCGCATGCATGCATGCATACATGCATGGGTGTGAGTAAACTTATGCATGCATGCATGCATGCACGGGTGTGAATAAACTTATGCATACATGCAAGCCAACGAATGCATGCAACAACTTCCTCACAGGCCCTCTTAAACCAAGTGCTGCTGGAGGAGGCGAACGCAGTACAGTGGCAGCCGGAAAGCGTATCTTGGATCATCTCTAGGGTACTAGAGGGGGGCCCCCCTCAAGGGGGCCCCCCTCAGGGGGGCCCCTCTCAAGGGGGCCCCCCTCAGGGGGCCCCCTCTCAGGGGGGCCCTTCAAGCGCATGCAGCAGCTTCGGTGTGCTGCTGCAGGTTGTGGGTCGGTGTGTTGCAGCAGCAGCTGAATTGCTGGAGACACAGGAGATGAGTGCATCTGCAGCAAACGTTTCACTGGCGATGAAGGTAGCTAGCTAGTTTTTTTTTTTTTTTTTTTTTTTTTTTTTTTTTTTTTTTTTTTTTTTTTTTTTTTTTTTTTTTTTT